AATCCTTCATGTGGTTTCTTAAGGTCTGGTCCCATCTGCCTGTCCAACCTCATCTCTCTTCCTTGTAATTCTCTAGTGATCTGCCTACCTACCTTCTTTTAGTTCCTGAAAGTTCTTTCCCTCCTGCCTCTGAGTCTTTACATATGCTTTTCCCTCTCCTCCTGTTTCTAGCCAACTTATATTCTTCAAGTATCAATGAAAATGTTTCTTGTTCAGGGAAACCTTTCCTAATCATCCTCCACTTCTGGACTAGATTAGATCCCCCTGTTGTTTTCTGAAAGTCCCTTTTACTTCTTTTATAGCACAGATCATATTTATTCTTAAATATTCGCTTCTCTCTCTCCTGAAAAAATGTAAATACCCCCAGGGCAAGGACTGTGTACCCCATCAAAGCAAGAGTCAACAGTCAAACACGGTGTCTAGGATCAATAGGCACTCAGATATTAATGAGTAAGTGGATCTAATATCCTACTTGCTAGGATGTAACTGAGAGAAGGAAAACCTGAATCCATTGTCAGCATATTTGAAGTAAAATAAAATTTAAAACTGTCATCTGTAATATTTAATTCTAAAAATGGTATTAACCAGACTGAAAGAAGTAATGAAACCATAGGAAACAGAATAGGAGAGACTAGTTTTTGTATCAATTACTGAATGGACTTTTTCCAGGCAGTTCATTCGAAAGTCCCAAGTAATCTTCACAGTCAAACTGTTATCATGGCCATTGCAGGTTTATAGCTTCTGAAAAATCTCCTTTAGGCTCAAAGAATAGCTAGTTTTTGGTACAAGCATGTTGGATCTGAAAATTGTGGGTGTTCAAAGTGTTGAACTGATGAAGCATGTATTCTTGAAATATCCTAGGTACATTAAAAGTCCTGAAGCTTTCTGTGGCTTAGAACTGAGGTCCCTGTTTCAAGCCAAATATTTTAGACACAAACCTTTGGCTATGATAAAGTGCTAAATCAACTGTTTAGCAGGCCTTAGCACCCCTATAATGACTATTAACAGCTGTGTGCTTTCCCATTTTCAGCCAAAGTGACAACTGTTATTTTCCATTTTCAGCCTGTTTGCCAGGTATATAAGAGGGAAGGTGGGGTAGAGGAGGAATAAGTTTCAAATTGTTCTTAGATCTCATAATGCAGTATAGTCACAGACAAGACATAAACTCCTTTATCTATCTTTGAGATCTACTTCTCAAAGAACTATTTCTTAAGCAGTAACCTATTTCAGACTGCACATTTGTCTTCTTGATAGGTAAAAGGAAAGATGTGACAACTAGTGGTTTGTGTGGCAGAGCTAATTGTCAGTATTTATTAAACACTCATATAAATTATCTATTGCTTGGTAACAACTTACCTCAAAGCTTAGCAAATAAAAACAACATAGTTTCTGTGGGTCAGGAATCTGAGAGCAGCTTAGCTGGGTGGGTCTCTTATGAAGTGTAGTCAAGCTGTCAGCTGGCACTGCTGTATCATCTGAAGGCTTGATTGGGGAAAGATGTATTTGGAAGCTCACTCACGTGGTTGTTTATTTCCTTGTCACATGAGCTTCTCTGCAATATAGCTAACAATATGGCAGCCATTCTGATTCTTAATCCTATTTATGTAACCAAGCATTCTCCCCACCTCTAGAAGCTTTGGGTATATTTTCTTTGTCCCCACTGCACTGGACTTTCATAATGATGTGCCTTCATGTGGGTGAGGATCAAGTGAAATAATGAATGTGAAATGGTAAAATAGAATGGCTAGAAAAGCACAGTGTTCAAGCATGATGGATGGTGAGCTGGGGAAGAGCTGGTATCAGAAGAGAATGAATGTTACATGAAACTGGGAGCAGGAAAGTCAGGGAAGTCAATGGTGATCATCCTATCTTACCTGGTATGTTGTCTTTAAATGCCTTCCTTAAAAGTTACTAGTCTCCAGCAAAATCTCCCTATTCCTACACAGCTACTGAAGTCAAGGGGTACATTCAGCACCAGTTCACTCTCATCCAGAAGGCTCGCAAACCAGTATTGTTCTTGAACTAACCCAGCATTACAGAAAGGTTGCTGAACCCTTGAATGTGGTGTCTTCTTTGGTCTTACTATCCCACTGTGTGAGTGTGTTTTTAAAAATGAGTTTGGATCGATTATGTGCCTTGAATCAGAGCGTAGATGTGAAAGTACTTTATTAATTTTTTAAATGCTCCAAATTAAGTTGTTGGATTGCTGCTGTTTGGAGACACCAAACCTTCTAATTGTGTGCAAAACAAAAGTTGAATGATAGAACATACAAATTAACAGTTTATAACCTATTGTGAGAGAACCACTTTCCTACTATTGACAATACCATATCAGTGTTTTCAACTTTTTTGAAGTAGTTGCATTAAGTTCAGTAACATCTTAGTTAATGTTGAGTTTATGGTAATTTTCCACTCCCTTTCTCATAAAAAGTGCATCCTGCTATTTGTTCCCTGTACTCCATGTTGTTCTTGAATTAGAAGGGTTATTCTGTTCTTTCTTCCTCTACCTTTCCTTTTTCCTTTACTATTGCATACTTGGAATTTGTTTTTCAGGCAAAGGCAGATATTTTAGAAAACCGAATTCTGATTTCTGATTCTCTGTGGATGGTTTCCATATTAATGGAAAAAATATCACTATGCTGATTGTAAACAACTGCCAAATAAATCTTTGGAAATATAATGTGGTATAACCTGCTACCCAGCAAGTTTCAGGACCTTTAAGAGTCTCTGTAGTTAGGAATACCCCACTTACTTATGCAGTTGCCCTGACATTTAGAACAGACTCGCTTCTACCATTGTTATGCTGCATGTGGAAGTCTTAAAATTAAAGAACTGCTTTCCTCCCCTCCATAGCCTTATGGAATAGTTGTTACTGATTTGTATTTGGAATAGACATTGATTTCTTTTGTCTCTATCTAAAATACATTAAACACATGTATTTGCCTTATTTTAACCTACAGTTAATTAAATGGGTTCTGTTATAAATGAAATTCTTTTAGAACTATGTACCAATGAGTTATTTTTCCAACTATTCTCTACTGTTTACAATTCTGCCATGTCTTTTTAGAATATTAGAATATAATATTTGTTTCTTTTTTTTTTTTTTTTTTTTTTTTGAGACAAGAGTCTCGCTCTGTCACCTGGGCATTATCATACAGTGGCATCATGATAGCTCACTGCAACCTCAAACTTCTGGACTCAAGCGATTCTCCTGCCTAAGCCTCCCGAGTAGCTGGGACTATAGGCACATGCCACCACACCTGATTAATTTTTCTGCTTTTTGTAGAGACAGGGTCTTGCTCTTGCTCAGGCTGGTCTCGAACTCCTCGCTTCAAGCAATCCTCATGCCTCAGCCTCCCAAAAGTCTAGGATTACAGGCCTGAGCCACTGTGCCTGGCAGAATATTAGATTGCTAATGTTCATAATAGGTTAGAAAATTGCAACAGCAACAAAAAACTTTAAAGGGATTAAGAAAGAATATTTTAGTGTATCCAGAAGCAGAGAACTTTTTCATAAATGTTGCCAAGATGGAAATGAGCAGGGGAAATAATTTGTTAAAGGAACTTAAAGAAGACCTTAGGAGGCTTGGGGTGGGGTGGAGTGGGGATAGAATTGAGGTTGAAGAGGGGATGGGATAGAGAGAGAGTTGCCTAAGGACAAGTAAGCCTCAGGTATTTATGGATTCCTAATATTGTGGTAACTTATAAAATGTATAAACTTCAATCTCCCTTTTCAGGAGTTGAAAATCTAGGCCGGGCGCGGTGGCTCACGCCTGTGATCCTAGCATTCTGGGAGGCCAAGGCAGGTGGATCGCTCAAGGTCAGGAGTTCGAGACCAGCCTGAGCAAGAACGAGACCCCGTCTCTACTAAAAATAGAAAGAAATTATCTGGACAACTAAAAATATATATATAAAAAATTAGCCGGGCATGGTGGCGCATGCCTGTAATCCCAGCTACTCGGGAGGCTGAGGCAGGAAGATCACTTGAGCCCAGGAGTTTGAGGTTGCTGTGAGCTAGACTGAAGCCACGGAAATCTAGCCTGGGCAACACAGTGAGATGCTGTCTCAAAAAAAAAAAAAAAAAAAGAAAAGATAAACACAAGAAATTCATCCAACCTTTATAATACAGAAACATTGAGAGTCTCCCAAAAGATAATATGACTACATTAACATAGAAATGAGAAAAAGCAAATGATGGAGCATCTTGTATCACATGATCCTATTACTATTGAGAATAGATACTTGTGGAATGTTTGTGTTTGTATCTGCATACACATAGGGGAAGTCAGGGAGGTGATACGCATCACATTGTTAGTCATTCTTAACTCTGGATGGCTGGATAATTGATGGCTTTTATTTTCTCCTTTTTGATTATAAATATGAATGTGTATTATTTTTTGAAATACATTTTAAAGAAAAAAAGAACTTGAGAATAAGGAGCAGGGGCTTACAATATTCATTAAGAATGCATTTTCTCAAACTATTTAAACATTAAGGAAGCTGTAATGATCTTATTAGGTTCTAGGACCTACAGGAATTTGGCATGGGAAGATTCCCACTCTTCCCACCCCCATCCCATTTGTCCAGAAAGACAGCCTAGACATTTTTTTCCTTTAATACTTAAAAAATTGTACATCTGTATGGCTGATAACTGCAGGACGTGGTTGGTTTTATAACAGTTACAGACTAATAGTTTTTGTTCATCTATAGTTAAAATCTTTGACTCATAACTTTAGAAGCTTCTGGAAGAATGTGGATGTTATAGGTTTATATTTCCTTGATCCTTATATTTATTGTATCCTTTCTTTTGCTCCTGTTTAGATTCTATCATAATGAATGGATCCAGTGTGGCAAATACATCACCTAGTGTAAAATCCAAAGAGGACCAAGGGTTAAATGGGCATGATGAGAAGGAAAACGGAAGAATGTGGATGTTATAGGTTTATATTTCCTTGATCCTTATATTTATTGTATCCTTTCTTTTGCTCCTGTTTAGATTCTATCATAATGAATGGATCTAGTGTGGCAAATACATCACCTAGTGTAAAATCCAAAGAGGACCAAGGGTTAAATGGGCATGATGAGAAGGAAAACCCATTTGCAGAGTACATGTGGATGGAAAATGAGGAGGATTTCAACAGACAGGTAAAGAAAGAAATAAAAAGTTAATAATACATGCAACTTAAGAGCTATAATATTTTACTGTCAGTCTGTTACAAAAGAAATGAGTACAACTGGTTTTAGAATAACTCAAAAATACATGAAGGCCTCATCTGAGGTGACCAGGAAACATCTTCAGCTGGTAAGAGACTACAGCAATAGTATGTTAGAGGAAGATACTGATATCTTTCTACCATGCTGATTAAAAGAGGACACAAACACCAGACTAATCAGTTGATAGGTAAAAAATCCCCCACCTATCAATATATAAACAAATAGATTTGCATGTACCCCACACACACATTGTGACATGCCCTTTAAGTATAGTTCATATTACACAGTAATTGCTGCAGAGAGGTCCTGCTCTGAGCCTCATTCTAGCTAGATTTGTTTATTGGATTTCCCTATGTGACTGTAAACCAGTCTAGGAGATTCCTGGAATTTAAATCAAACAGAACTCTCCCCAATCCCAGAGGATTGACTTAAAACCCTTGCATCAAACCAAGGTGGCTGAGCTCCTTTATCCTGCCCTGATTCCAGCTTTAATCCTAGGAACCACTGTGGCTCCATAACTCTCTATAATGATCAATGTGAAACTAATGGCTTAAACTGTGGGGCAATAAAAAACAGAATGGTAGTGAGGTTGTTTTTCTATACTTTGTGCTTTGTTGCTTTCATTTGCTTATAGGAAATATGAAACTCTGCATTTCATTTTGAAAATAAATGCAGACATAAAAGAAGTTTAAGAACTCTGAGTGAAGATAAATATGTTTGTCATGGGATTTTAGAAAGGTTGTGTTTGGCTCTTGTGTTGACTTCCCTTTTCCTGCCTGCCTTTATTTAGCCTCTGAATGGGAAATAAGTTGTTGAGAGCATAAACAATTTTTACTAGCTTTGGTAATACTAACACGCTTTGAATCCCACTGATCAGGATTGTACTGGGACCATTAGGAGGCATATGTCTGAGCTGTGAGTTAGCTGTGAGCTTCTATATGTAAGAGTTTAGCAAACTGAAGCAGAATGCATGGAAAAATGCTGGAAAACTAGGGACTTGCAGAAACACGTACACACATACACATACATACATACATGCGCTAAGGGATTGAGGAAAGACTATTGAGAAGCTTTAAAATTTTTAATTACTTGCTTCAGGAGAGCTAGGAAAGCAATGACAGCTGTATCCTTGGCAGCTTCTAGTATTGCAGTAAATACCAAGCCCTAAGAAGACTGAATAGCTAAACAATTGTTTGTTCAATTCCCTTAACCCTAATATTTCTCAGGTAATACTAGCTTGCCAACATTATTTTGAAACTGTTATGTGATTTCCAGTGAGGGGATTAACTGTTTCAGAAAAACCTTTGTCCTTCACTGTCCAGGAGGGTTTAGGAATCTAGGATCTGACTGATGTCATTCTTTCTGTACACCTGTATATTCTGTTTCACCACGGTGAATTGTACAGTTCCTACCACCACCAATCCCATGACAATACTAGTGTAGCTTTCATGGTAATTCAGAAATGGTTTTACATATAATGCACCTTAAATTGGATCTTAAGGAAGAAGAAATTGGTTTCTAGCTAGAAACCCTGATAAAATATCTTCTGACTTTCCAATAGAATATCTAAGAAAACAGAATAAGACAGAAACAACTTACAACCTTGCAAACTGGGAGTGACATTCACCGGTCTGTTGAAAAGATTTTCATTGACTGTGAGCCTGCTAGAACTGGATTGAAAGGTAGTTTTGAGGGGGAAAAGGGTTAAATTCTAATAAAAGGCAATGTCACCCATTCAAGATTTCAGAAAGTATAACTCAGGAAAGAGGAGAAGTAAGACCTAACATACTAGTTATAATTGTGAATGGTTTATATCCCCTCCACACCTACACACACACATACACAGACACACACACAATTTTTAAGAGAGAAGAGAGAAAGACTTTGTTGGGTTAAGGGAAAAAAAGCAGGTGGGGGGAATCTAATTATATGCAGTTCATAAGATACACTCTCACTGGCAATCCGTGCTGTGGAAAAAGAAGAAAAATGCTTAGTGAATTTTTAAATCTTGTGGGTCTTTTAAATCTTATGGGTCATTTCTAACTAGGGGATTTTTTAAATCTAAGCTTCTGCTATTTTCCCATGGGTATTTAGTAAGTAAAAGTCAGGATGGATATATTCCAAAACGTCAACAATATTCATTCACGTATGGGTGTTGAGATTAAGGGTGATTTTTTTCCTTCCATTTGATTTTCTTAGTTCTAATTTCTCAATTCTTAAGCAAAGAAAATGGGTTATTTCTATAATAAAGGAAACAGGTTCACATGTAAAGGCCCTAAAAAAGAAATATCTGAAGTAAAATGCTTCAGAAAGGGAAAACATAAGAATGGGAAGAGAAAATACCAGGAAATTTCAAACACAAAGAAAGCAGTATCAATACTGGATAAAGTGGAAATTGAAGGGAAAACTATTAAATCGCATTAAGATAAATTCCACAATGAAAATTTTATATTTATGAATGTTTTTTCAAGTCATATAGCAATGAAATAGATAAAAAAAGTTAGGAAAGAATCCACATCCTAGTGGGAGACCTTAACTTTTATGCATTTATTCATTCCGCAAGTGTTTATTGAGCCAGATAATGTACTAGATGCTTTTTTTTTTTTTTTTTTTTTTTTTTTGAGACAAAGCCTCACTCTGTTGCCAAGGCTAGAGTGCTGTGGCGTCAGCCTAGCTCACAGCAACCTCAAACTCCTGGACTCAAGTAATCCTACTGCCTCAGCCTCCCGAGTAGCTGGGACTACAGGCATGCACCACCGTGCCCGGCTAATTTTTTTTCTATATATTTTTAGTTGTCCAGCTAATTTCTTTCTATTTTTTTAGTAGAGATGGGGTCTTGCTCTTGCTCAGGCTGGTTTCGAACTCCTGAGCTCAAATGATCCTCCCGCCTCGGGCCCCCAGAGTGCTAGGATTACAGGCATGAGCCACCGCACCCGGCCTGTACTAGATGCTTTGACTGATTCAAGAGATAAAACATAAGAATATAGAGTATTTATATAAAAGAATCTTGATTTAATTAACATATATCAAGGTTTGCGTGCTATGGATAGCAAATACATTATTTTTTAATACCACTGGAACATTTGTAAAAATCCATTATCTATCAAGCTACAGAGAAAACTTTAAATTACTATAAAGTACAAATTGTACAGACATATTCTCTGGCCATGGAGAATTAAATTAGTAGCAAAAAAAATCGTGAACTATTCAGAAAAAAATTTTTTAATTGTCAATAAACTTGGGTTAAAGAGGATATCAAAACCATAGTTACAGATGGTATGAAAATTAGTGACACTGAATATATTAATATCAAATCTGAGGGATATGGCCAAAGCTATATAGTAGTTGCTGGGATTATAGGCGTGAGGCACCATGCCCAGCTTGCAAATATAATTTTTTTCTATACTACCATACATGATGAAAGTTATGCTCCAAGAAATGCTGGAAAGAAATGTACTAGAAGATAAAGAGTACTTACATCTGAGTGGCAAAATTGTATAGAATGGATATTTTCCCTTTTTTTCTAAATTTCTATAATGTCAAGAATGTAAACTCTAAAAACTTTCTAGAAAGGCAGCTTGACCTTCTGCATCTGAACTGTAAGTGTTTCTTAATTTATATTTTTTCTTGTTAATATATATATTGTAAGATGAAATTTCAGCCATACCTTGGCGATATTGTGGATTCAGTTCCAGACTACCACAAGAAAGCGAATAACACAATAAAATGAATCACATGAATTTTTTGATTTCCCAATGCATTTAAAAGTTATATTTACACTATATTGTAGTCTATTAAGTGTCCAAAAGCACTATGTGTAAAACAATGTACATATGTTTATTAAAAAAATACTTGATTGCTAAAAAATGTTAACAATCATTTGAGCCTTCAGCAAATCATAATCTTTTTGCTGGTGGAGGGTCTTGCCTCAATGTTAATGGTTGCTGACCGGTCAGGGTGGTTGTTGCTGAAGGTTAGAGCGACCTTGGCGATTTCTTAAAATAGGACAATAGAGCCAAGCACGGTGTAACATGCCTGTAGTCCCAACTACTTGGGAGGCTGAGGTGGGAGGATCACTTGAGCCCAAGAGTTTGAATCATAGTGAAATCCTGTCTCTATATTGGAAATACATTTTTTTTTTTTTTTTGAGACAGAGTCTCACTCTGTTGCCCTGGCTAGAGTGAGTGCCGTGGCGTTAGCCTAGCTCACAGCAACCTCAAACTCCTGAGCTCAAGCGATCCTACTGCCTCAGCCTCCCGAGTAGCTGGGACTACAGGCATGCGCCACCATGCCCGGCTAGTTTTTTATATATATTTTTAGTTGTCCAGCTAATTTCTTTCTATTTTTTTAGTAGACGGGGGTCTCACTCTTGCTCAGACTGGTCTCGAACTCCTGAGCTCAAACAATCCGGCCGCCTCAGCCTCCCAGAGTGCTAGGATTACAGGCGTGAGCCACCGCGCCTGGCCAGAAATAAATTTTTTTTTTGTTTTAAAACTAAAAAAAGACAAAAATGAAATTCGCTACATTGATTGACTCTTCCTTTCACAAAAGATTTCTCTGTAGCATATAATGCTGTTAGGTAGCATTTTACCACAATGAACTTCTTTCAAAATTGGAGACAATCCTCTCAAACCCTGCTGCTCCTTTATCAACTAACTTATGTAATATTCTAAATCCTTTGTTGTCATTTCAACAGTGTTCACAGCATCTTTACCAGGAGTAGATTCCATCTTAAGAAATCACTTTCTTTGCTTGTTCATAAGAAGCACCTCCTCATCCATTCAAGTTTTATCATGAGATTGAAGCAGTTCAGTCACATCTTCAGGCTCCACTTCTAATTCTAGTTTTCTTGCTATTTCCACCACATCTGCAGTTACTTCCTCCACAGAAGTCTTGAACCCCTCAAAGTCATCCATGAGTATTGGAGTCAACTCCTGTTAATGCTGATATTTTGACCTCCTTCCATGAATTACAAACGTTCTTAATGGCATCTAGAATGGTGAATTCCTTTCCAGAAGGTTTTCAATTTGTTTTGCCCAAATCCATCAGAGGAATCAGTATCTATGGCAGCTACAGCCTTACTAAATGTATTTCTTAAATAAGACTTGAAAGTCAGAATTACTCCTTGATCTGTGGGCTGCAGAATTGATGTTGTGTTAGCAGGCATGAAAACAACATTAATCTCTTTGTACATTTTCATCAGAGCTATTGGATAACTGGATGCATTGTTAATGAGAAATAATATTTTGAAAGGAACCTTTTTTTCTGAGCAGTAGGTCTCAACAGTGTGCTTAAAATATTTAGTAAACTGTGCTGTAAACATATGTGCTGTCACCTTGGCTTTATTTTTCTATTTATAGAGCACAGGCAGAGTAGATTTAGCACAATTCTTAAAGGCCCTAGGATTTTCAGAATGGTAAATGAGCGTTGGCTTTAACTTAAAGTCATCAGCTGCACTAGCCCCTAACAAGAAAATCAGCTGGTACTTTGAAGCTTTGAAGCTAGGCATTGACTTCTCTCTAGCTATGAAAGTTCTAGATGGCATCTTCTTCCAATAGAAGGCTGTTTGGTCTACATTGAAAACCTGTTGTTTAGTGTAGCCACCGTCATCAATTCTCTTAGCTGGAACTTTTGTGTCAGCACTTGCTGCTTCACCTTGTACTTTCATGTTATAGAGACTTAAACCTCGTGAACCAACTTCTGCTAGTTTCAAACTTTTCTTCTTCAGCCTTCTCACCTCTCTCAGCCTTCATAGAATTAGAGAGAGTTAGGGCCTTACTCTGTATTAGGCTTTGGCTTAAGGGAATGTTGTGGCTGGTTTGATCTTCTATCCAGACCACCTAACTCATGTTAAATCTTGTGCTAGGAAATATTTTATTGTTGTTATTTTAAGCACTTCATAGCTATCTAATTTACTTGAGATCAGAAAATGTGTGGCTGATTATAATGTTGAAATACTGTTTTTTTTGTTTTTGTTTTGTTTTTGAGACAGGGTCTCACTCTGTCACCCAGGCTGAAGTGCAGTGGCACAATCATAGTTCACTATAGCCTCGAATTCCTGGGCTCAAGCAATCTTCCATCTCCAGCCTCCCAAGTAGTGAGGACTACAGGTGCGAGACTCTGTACCTGGCTAAGTTTTAAAATCTTTTTTGTGGAGACAATGTCTTGCTGTGTTGGCCAGGCTGGTCTCAAACTGATCTCAGGTGATCCTCCTACCTCGACTTTCCAAAGTACTGGGATTGCAGGTGTGAGCCACTGCACCTGGCCAAAATACTATTCTTAAGTCTTGCTCCCAGTGACTTTTCCTCTAAATTCATTAGGTCACTGTATAGGCTAATTTGGGTAATTATTTTTCTTGACCTCCCTTCTGGTGGTGGCGCTGGTGAGCTACGAATCTGTCACCAGGCAGCCAGCAGGAAAGAAATGGCCAAATGTGAAGCAGGAAGCCTGTTAGTCACACTAAAATCTGTAGAGTTAACCACACTCTTTATAAGAGTTAACAATGTATGCAAAGAAGTGTAAAACATCCTAGATACACATTGCTTTGGTTTAGGGCGATGTTTAAGAAATATGCAGTTGTTTAAATATTCATGTATTTGATCTTGTTTTGAAAGAATACTCCATTGATTCTATAATTTTATAGTGGTATGCCAAAAAGTGTTCTTTAATAAAGTCTTTCAAAGGTTCTGAAAGTATTTTTCTCCCTTGGGGGTCTCATTACCCAAAAAGTGGGCCAGAAGCTGAGAGAATTGGTTTTATTTAATCTATACTATCCAGGTAGTACACTACTAACATCTTTTCTGTATCTTTTTCATATTTTTTATAAAATAGGAAATTTAGGAAAGGTTACATCTTAACAAGATTGAGAAAAGAATTTCAAGCTCTAAAATGATTTTCCATAAGTATCATTTATCTAAATGGAAAATACCTGCATCATATATAAGAGATCTTAGATGATCTATGAAGAGCTAGAATTTCTGCTATTTAGAACAACGATTTCCTCAGTCTTCTGATGGAATTTGGTTGAAAAAAACTAAAAATTACATGTTATCTAGCCAGTCATTAGCAGCACCTTAATTCTTAGATCTCATACAAGAACATTCTTAATTGCAGAGTAATAACCTCTGAAGGAAAGAGGTGGAGAAAAAACTGGAAGGGATGAGTCCCAGTGAGGCAGTAAGTCTGAGCTGCTCCCCTTTGCTTGCTAGGTTGAGGAGGAGCTGCAGGAGCAAGACTTTTTGGACCGCTGCTTCCAGGAGATGCTGGATGAAGAAGACCAAGACTGGTTTATTCCATCACGAGACCTGCCTCAGGCCATGGGACAGCTGCAACAGCAGTTAAATGGACTGTCTATCAGTGATGAGCATGATTCTGAAGATATTTTGGTAAGAACCATATGTAGTTCCACATGGGATGTAATGGAAAGAATATAGGATTTGGAGTCACAGACTCCCATTCTGACCCTATAGCCTTCAACAAGTCTCTGGAGCCCTCTGAGCTGCTGCTTCTTCCCTCATCATATGGGCGTTGATAAGGGGGTGCTTTGAAAACGATTGCTCCTCATAAAGCACTGTGAAAACATTATTGTTGCCAGAGTCCCAACTTTTATTTTCTAGTGGGCTTTTCAAAGTAGAATTGAGATTAAGGATAAAAATTTGAACAGTGAAGAGATTTCTTTTCAAATTATCATTTGCTGCTGTCCTTTTCTTTTACTATGCCCCAAATTTGTATTTAATATAGTTCTGAATGATTCTGTTACAAAAATTGCTTGCTCATTTTAGAAGGAACATAATCCTGAGGGTCCGTCTTCCACTTATAATTAGAAAACCAGATAAATGAATTTCCTTCCTTACATGTTTATGCAATATCAGAATTCTGTGAGTAATATAGTTCTCACATAACTCACGTTCTGAATGAGTGTGCCCTGCAGTTTGCTAAGGTTTTGGATAGTCACAAGAGAGTAGAGAACCAAAGAGAGTACGGAAGGATGAAAAAAAACAGAGGTTGTGGTAACCAAAGTAGTTGGATGGAATACCCTGATTTTCACCAAGGTAAGGTACTTACTGAATTGCAAATTCTTTTTGGAATCGAACTTACAATCCTCTGATGTGATTTTGGAAAGCATCAGGAAGGGAACAGGAGTTTAAAGCAGGAAGGAGACAATGAGCTTGCTCAGGCCTGAGTATGACAGGACCTGTTGAGAGTAGCCCATCAATGACAGCCTCAGTTACAAGGAATTTTCTTTCTTTCTTTTTCCTAAAGTTAAGGGGAATGTACTAATAATAATGAAAACAAGGAGAAAATAAGTTTTAAAGTGCAGCTTGCTTTGGGATTTACTAATATTATCTTTTCATTCTTCTTTCAGAGCAAAAGTAACCTGAACCCAGATGCCAAGGAGTTTATTCCTGGAGTGAAGTACTGAGCCTACAGAAAGCTTTGAGGAGGACTTGTCTGTCCCCCCATCTGGGGATATGATGCACAATAAGGCAGAGCTGAAAAGGGGGGTGGGGTGGGCGAGGGGTACACAGCAGGGAAGGGAAATGGTGGTTTAATGATACTGTGACTCTGAGTAACTAATGTGCTCAGTCTTACTCTACAAGCCTCTGAGTATTTCTCTTTTGTTCTGCTGACTTTTGTTTGAAGCAGTTTCCTTTTTTGTTTTGTTTTTTAATTAGCTCTAGTTAAGGAAACTGCATTTTTCCCCCCTTCTTTAGGAATGTTCTGCTGTGTGTGTTTAAACAAAATAAGCTGACCAAGAAAAACTGGGTGTTTAAGAAATGCCCTTCTCACCCTGCTGTATACTTACGGGGCAGTGAACACCTGGACAGCTACTTGTGGAGTATGTTAAGTGATGAAAAGAGGGATGAGCAGAAGCAGCAGGGGGTACAACCAGAATATGAGGCTCCACTCCCCTGACCCCTGGGGTTTCCTGTCATGAACTGGGATTGCCAATGGCCTACCAAGCCCATGTCTCCCTGCCCTGAACCCATTCGAGAAAACACAGACTTAAAGTACTTGGTTTACAGTAACTCTTTTTATGGTTGATGAAAGTTATGATCAGAATGGGAGGGCTGTGATGATGGTTGTCACTTGAGTCATTTAGTTACTGTTGTCCCATTCTTAAGCCTCTGTTTACAGCTACCATCAGACTCACCATTTACAAGTAATAGCACTAGGGTTGATTTGCCACATCCTCCCTCATGGTGTTAATTCCCCTGTCTCCTTTCTACCCCACCCTACTCTGTTTTTCGAAAAAGATATTGTTAACAAAAGCAAATGAGAGGCCTTCTGTGCTGGCCATCAGCATAAGCTAGAGAAGTCATCCTTTTGAATCCTGTTAGTTGTGTCTTAAATTTGTTTGGATAATTTATTTCTTTTCCAGCCCCCATCAACACTTGGTCCTTCTGGTATCTTTATCTGACAAGTATATGTAATTTTTCAAGGAAATATATTTTTCAGGACACTAGGAAGAAGCTCAATTCAGTTTGGATGCTTGTCGCCATCTTAACAGAATTGTGGAAAGGAACTTAAAAACAACCCAGGAGAGTGAGTCCTGCTTGACCCATGTGACTGTTACTTGACCCTCCAGGATATTTTCAGTTATTATAAAATAATACTATTCGTACATACACAGCTTTGTGAGTTTCCTCGGTTGGCCTCTCTGGGTATGTTCCTTTTGTCTTTCCTGCCTATAACTCACTAGGGTCTTTTGTTGATACTCCTAAGGAACTAAAGTGGGCACCAAGAGCTATCTTTGTGTGTAGAGATGTAGGTGGCAGCATAGTGTGTAAAAGAGAGTGCATCCAGTCCTGGCCATTGTCCCAGGACAAGGACTCGTGGAGGCCTGAGGATGACAGTGACTTCTGTCTGACTGCTGCTGTACTGTGTAATAGGCCTATAAGGAAAAGATTGTGTAACTTGAAATAAAGTCGGTGTAAATTCAGTATGTGGATGTGGGACAGAGGTTGGAAGGAAAGGACGAGTGTCTAGAAAGCTGAAAAAATTCTTTTTCTTATGAGTTCCCTTGTTGACTTTTGAACAGCCACAGGCTAATGTCAATGCCAGATTTAAAGTACACACTCACATCTTTTTCCTCCCTTGATTCTATAGGATGGCATCATTTGAGAAATGGCCTTCCTTGTTAGGTCACGTGTCATAGGAGAGTAGTTTAGGGAACTTGTATTGCCCAGACATACATGTTAATTCCCAAAGCCTCTACCTCGAGAGAATGAAATTGTTAACTCTTTTTCAGGGAAGACTATGAATAAAGAAACTTCTTTTTCTGGGTTCAGCTTTTACCTGGGATTGTTGCCTCTGATAAAGAGAGGGCATTGGAAATGCTTGAGTAGAGGAAATCTCTCTCTGCTGAGGCTGCTTATCCTCCTTCAGTCTCCGTTAGCCTGTTTTGGAAATGTGTTCGGATTGCAGAAAGAAAGGGGCCCATCTTTCCTTCTGCTGTGTTGGTCCATCTTGGATGTCAGTCTTCAGCATGGTTTCACAAGGCACATGTGGTCAGGACTAAGAAAACTTCCTGCCAGTGGAGCATGGAAGCTGAGGGCTGGAGGTTCCAGTTCTATTCAGACAGAGTGTGCTGACTCCAGATTCAGGAAGCAGCTAGCAAGGTGACTCCTTTTATCCTATGTAAGACTTGTGCATCCAAGTTCCTTTCATAGCCCAACTCTTTTTGCCATCTATTTTATGTTGTGAGGTGGGAGCACAATTATCACCCACATCACAGGCTCAGCTATAGTTGGAGTTTGCCACCTTCTTAGCGGCAAATGCATGTGGGTCTTGTTGGAGCTTCACTGGGGAAAGGCTGGAAGCCTCTGTCTGTCTCAGACTTTTCCTTATAGGAGAAATTGTGGGTGCAAGCAAGTCTGGACACTGTTACCCTTTAATGGTGAGGCTTGTATTTATAAGTGATAATTTTGATGTTGAATTCCAGCCGCTACTCTGTTCTAACTTTCTTTATTGGCAACTGCAAGTTTCAGAATTTGTATAGAAATGAAACACGTATTTTTAACAGTTGCCAATCTGGCTGGTCCCAGTGTTAGTTTAGTAGTGATTGATTTCTGATTATTTATTTGGCTCTAAAACTCCAAGATGAAAATAATTTTCTCTCTTTCTCTTCAAGGGAAAACAAATATAAAGGAATGCCTTTTCAGTTTCTCCAGGCCTTTGAACTGCAGCAGAAAATTCAAGGATACAGTCTAGGCCTGTGCACAGGCAGCCTGGGTCTTTGGGCCAGTTTCTGACTACAGTAGTTGACTTGGGAATCACATAAGGTCAAACCAGAAGAGATCATAAAGAAAAGGCTGGACCTTTGTAGCATCCTTAGTTTCCAAAGTCCTAGCAGCTGGGCTCTCTTTAATTAAGGTTATAATGCTAACCATGTCTTGAAAACAAATGTTTTTAGTGAAATACTAAGCAGCATTTTCCAAATTGTTTATTGTTATAATGGCAAAGTTTTGTCTGATTTTGGAGAGGGTGGCAAGTAAGGAAGTCAGGTGAATACTCTGGCAGTTAACACATGTTAGAGAGGAAAGTTGTATGAAGAAATAGCCAAAGAAAACAGCCTGAATGAATCTTCTTGCATTAGGACTGCTGCAAACCCCATGCATTCTACCCTGCTGTGATTGGAGGGGGCAGCCCTTCTTCAGTAAGGGTCCCACCATTACAAGCTAATAATCTTTCTGCATTTAGTTGATATTGAGGTATGGGAACCAGTAGAGACCTGACAAATCCGTCCAAGATTTGGAGATGTCCACCTACTGGGAAAGACTGTATCCCTGGCCACTCTTCTCTGGGATAATGTAAACATCATTAGTTTAGGAAGTGGGTGATTTGGTGTATAGGGGATCTTGCACTCCTACCTCTGCCCACAGTTGCCCATGTGAATCATTTCACTGCTCATTGCCCATTGGGATCATTAGTTCTGCTGGTCTTGCCGCTGTATAGTACCCCAAGTACCTACTGCTGCCACTGTTTGCTGCCTTGTGAATTTCATCCCTGGACTTGGTTAGTCGCAACTTGGAAAGGGTTTTTTGTTTTTGTTTTTTCCTTTGTTTTAATCTTCTTCTGTATTGAAGCTGCTATTGGTGACAGGGACAGGGGAGCAGGAAGCCAATCCAGGGAAACATGCAAGTTTCCTGTGTACTACTTGGCCTTCTGCCCTCACTGCCCAACCCCTGCTGCTGTTCCTAGTCAGTCTGGTTTTTAGGGGGGTCGTGGGAATAGGACAGCTGGATACACTGATCTCTACAGGGTGTCAGCCAAGAGATTCACATTCCCTGTTTCCGGGGGACAAGAGAGAAATGTGTAAAGGGACAGGTACACTATATTTTAAAAGAAAAAAACCCTTCAGACTTTGTTACTTTGAGTTTCATTTGTGACATTTGCTGAGCTTTCTTCTCCAATCCTACCTTCTTATTAGCTACCTTTTCCTTAAAAATAATAAACATTCTAGGCTATTTAACACTATAAAAAAATACTGAGATAATAGTAAAAATTTTGAAATGTTTTACTAATTTACAGTTGCTAAAATGTATTTACTATAAAATAGTAAAATATTTCACTATGTAAATCAACACTAAGTAATAATCCTGTCCTCTTGATTGTGAGCCTTCAAAAATGTTTAATGCTCGAAGGGTGGTTTTGGAGGCAAGGAGTCCTTTTTTAAAAAAAACAACTTTAACGAGGCATATTTTAACATGTCATAAAATTCATCCACTTCAGGTGTATGAGTCAGTGATTTTAGTAACTTTCTTTAGTGGTTCAGACATAACCATTACTCAGTTTTAGGACATTTTCATCCCTTCCAGTAAGATCCTTCATATTCGTTATTATTGTCAATCCCTGTTGCCACTCCCAGCTCCAGGCAACCACTAATCTATTAATATTTTCTGTCTCTGTAAGTTTGCCTTTCCTTCACATTTCCTATCAGTGAAATCATAAAATATGTGGTCTCTTGCACCTGATTCTTTTCACTTAGCATAATATTTTTGAGGTTCATCCATGACATGTAACATGTTTTGGTAATTCCTGTTATTGCTAAGTAGTATCTCATTGATAGATAATCACATTTTGTCAGCAGAGACTCTTTTAAACTTGGATTTCAATTTCTTGTGGTCTAAATGGAACCCTCAAACATAGGACTTGTAGGGGAAGCTGCTGTGCACATCAAAAGAACTACTTATCAGAACCTGCTTTGTCATCCCAAGCTCCACATAAGGAGCCTGAACTGCTGCAGAATTTTTTAAATAATTTTGCAACTTCTTTTTTATAAGGAACTTTTGTGCTACTACACGTCAGGACTTTTAACACACCTGATAAATCCATTTAACGAGTATGAGCATTGTGTTTGAGAGGACAAGAAAGTGAAACCATCAGTGCTGTATTGGGTATTTTTCCCTCCCTCAGACTGGATGGGGAAAAATCTCTGAACTTCTAAGTAGAGTATTATGTCTCCATTTACATAGCTAATCATGTATTAAAGATTGTGCTGCCTTTGTTGTACAGATTTGAGGGAAGGGGGGCCCACAGCAAAGGCAGAGAAGGGAGAGATGGTGGAGCTTGTGGAACAAGAAGCCCAGAGGG